GGGGAGGGAATTTAAGGTAAATAGTTGCTAGCTTTAATTGAAAAATGCGCACATTTTTATCATATGTTTTCAAATTTGAGTGTATATTTCAAAACGTCTACAGATATTTTTTCCAAGATTGTAGTCTGTACACAGGCTATATAATCAATCAAAAGACCTTTTTTTTTTCTGATAGACCAATCGAGTGAAAAGCCAGATTTTAGCTTTTTTACATGTGGCCAAACAGGCATTTGTGTCAGGTGTAAATATCAAGATTTTGTTGGCATCTTACTCAATTGAATATTAGTTAAAGAGTATTGTAGATGGAAATTATTGAGTGGAAATTCATATACATTTATTAGACCTGACCAGGAACATGCAGCTGCGAAAAATGCAACTTTAAGGTCCCTGGCAGGAATTGAACCGCCGCGCCGGCCCCGCAATTCCGGTGCAATGCTCTAACCAACTGAGCTACAGAGTCCAGTTGTCGAGCTCTAACCACAAGTTCATGTTTTTCTAGGGTACTGCCATGTGAAGGTATGGGTAAATATCAAGATTTTGTTGGCATCTCACAAACAAATCAGGACCTGATACTCAGACTATACATGCAAACATGTACAGTACAACTGACTACAGTACACCACATGGCCAGATTTTTAGGGGAGGTGTGGGGAGGTGGGCACCTCCCCAGAGATGCACCTCCCCTTGCACCTCCCCTTGGGAAAGGTTAAATAATAGATCAAAATGAAATTTTTTACATGTTGCTTAGAGTCTACACTTGAAAAACTGATAACTATTCATCATCTCTGTATCAAGTGCCCTTTTGATGGAACATTTCAAAATAAACTTTGTAGTAATGTAATGTAGAGCAATATTGGATGAATCGTACAGTCATAATTCATAAATACACTGATACATATGTACAGCACATGCATACATCATGTATAGTTGACTTTAATAGGGGGCTACATTCTGAGTCCTAACATTCCATGGGGGCTGTGGACTAGACGCTGCACCTCCCCTGGATATATTTCCACCTGCCCCAGCATTTCCACCAAAATCTGTCCTTGCTACACCATAGAATGAAAACACCTTCAAGTGCATCACTTACTTCAAACCTGTACCAGTCAGAGTTCCAAATAGGGTTTAAAGACTTTTTACACACTTCCGTTTTGTATACCATGTTTCCCAACTTCACCTAAACCAAAACAATTCAAATATACAAAATAACTGTGACTTTTGGGAATACACAATCGACACCCATTGAGCAGCAATGCGCCCAAATGCGCCCTACTTTATCCTTTTACTCGGTCTAATGCCAGCCGATTTTACTTGTCAAGGAGAGAGTCTCGCACTCTAATGGGTTAAGCTGGAATGACAATAAATATTGAATCAAAATGTCAAATAACAAATAGAATAAATTTGAGTTGCTCGCACAACTCTGGGTATGAGGTTGTTGCTCGCAGTGTTCAATGGGATCTCATTTTTGTGTTATGTCTGAGCTTGATGGTGCCGGGTGTCGCAGGAAATCCCCCCCCCCCTCCGTGATAAAAAAGGTGGTGGCAGTGTCACAGGAAATTTGGCCCTCTCCCACAGATATTTCCTAGAAGAGGACCCCCTCTTTGGAAATCATCCCCTCAGAAACATGGATCATAAAATCAAAAAATTGAATAATCTTAAAATTGATTAAAAAATTAATTTTACTCTAATTGCTGGTAATTATTAGAAACGAGTATATTAATTACCATTATCTACATTGTCACTGCTCTGTCCATATTCGCTGACACATGATGTCATCAAACATCGGCTGCCTAAAATTCTTGTTTTTCTCAGTTAATTTAATTATAGTCTATACTGTAGAGTATGGATCTGGTTAAAAATAATTTGTAATATCTTATAAGATGCGATCTCTCAAAATGGTTTGATTGTGAGGACCTGTGAGCTCATTATTTGGGTCATTAACAGTTTTTGACCGTGGTCATTAACATATGACAAAGCCAACACAAAAGGTAAATTTTACATAAATTCTAAACACTGCGCTGTAGATTTATTATGTCTTCAGCGTGAAAACCCTGACTCATTTCCAGATTCCTTAATAAATGTTGCAAAAACTAAATCATAACCACTTGCTTTCATGTAGATTCTAGGTAACCATGAGTGATGTGCTAATTGCCTAAGTTGTCGAATGTTTATGTTTAAAGGTTTTGAAATGCTGGTTATACCAGTATTATCTTCTTTAGACTGAAATTTCACATATATATTTGTCAATGACAAGTTTATAAGATATTCACTTTCATGAATTATTTGTTTTTCGGTTTGTTTATGAAAAGCAAAACACAATAATTTCCAACGATCTACAAAGAGAACTCTTTCTCAGCTGTGTCTTCACCCACAGACGCAAAGGCCTGCACACTGAACGCACCCGCAAGCGCCCGGTGGACCCACAGCGCCAACAGGACAGACGCACCCGTGGGCACCCATAAACACACAGTGGACCCAAGATACCTGTGTCTTGGATGCTGTTTTTGATAAGTTATTTCTTGGAAGTACTGCATGTATTTGTTCAAATCCTAAAAGGGAGGCCAAATTTCCAAAGAGGGGGCCAAATATCCTAGGAAATATTGCCCCCAGGGGGGGAAATTTCCTAGGATATTTGGCTCAGGGGGGCCAAATTTTGGAGGGGGCATATGCCATATTTCCTGGGACACCGGGTGATTGATATGGTGATCTAGATTCTATTCTCAAATTCCAAAGCTTTTCAAAATAGACTTAATTTTAATATCCTACCTCTGCAAACGCATCAGCCAAGTCACTGGAACGGTCCATAACAGGCAAGCCTCTGGCCGACACAATTCGAACCTTCACTTTCCCAGGCATGTTGAAAATTTTACATTAAATATAGCAATAAATATTGCTTTATGACAATGCACATGCTTCTATTTACAGTATTTGCTGCACGAAACATCAAAGAACTGTTTTAACATTGAAACCACAATAAAAGTTGATTCCATATCGATGCTTCTGCAGTTCAGCTAGCTATATTAAATTCCTTGTAAACATGTTAAATAAATTGTGTGAATGGATTTCAGGATATTTTTATTAAATTTAGTAATCCGCCATCTTTGCTTTATAGTTACTGTACATCAGGCAGTTACGCATGCGCAGTGTGACGATTTTCCCAGCGTTTGTCACTACAACCCAATGCTACAACCTCGTCCCCAGGGTCTTCCTGGTGGTGGCGCGCGAGCTGAGGAAGACCCTGGTAAAATACGATGAAATCTCCAAGATTCTTGGAGATTTATCGCATGCGCAGTAACGACAACGTTATGTTGCTGACTACAATTAGCGCTGGCGCTTACGATTTTCTTGTTTAAAAATATACATGTTTTGTTGATTGTTTATGCATTTATTCTCAAAGTTTTAACAAATTTTACGAAAAATACTTCAGATATAAGCTGTGAACACACATGTACACAAAACTATGCAACATTCATCATCATATTGTATCAATTTGTCGGAGTATGGCGCTCATATTTGTGACATCGTTTTGTTCGCTCTGGCAACCCTCGTATATATCAGATGCTATTCGGCTTCAAATGCGACTGAATAAACACTGATAGTGTTGCTTGGAATATGAAATGATATTGATTGATTGTTCTGTATATCAAGGTACGTACTGTATATTTATACTGAATTTATTCGATTTATTTTCACACGTTGCTTTCGCATTTTCTCAGAGTCTCGGAATGCTCTCACATTTTCTAACACAGTTTCACACCTACAGAAAGACTTCATTTCACACATGCAGAAAGACTTCTTCAGAAATCACAGTTTTTAACATACAGAAAGACTTCATATTATCTCATCAGCTAATAAAATTATGATAACAGTAGAAATGCTTAGAAAGATTTTATTCTGTTTTCCATATACAGTAC